CCCAAATCCACTAACCAGCCCCCAGGATTCCCAAAAACCTCCCCAATCACTCTGAAATCCACTAACCAACCCTGAGACCCCTAAATCCACTAACCAACCCCCCAGAGCGCCCCCAAAAACCTCCCCCGTCCCCCCACGTACATGTAGCTCTACCTCATGTCTGCACGCTGGATCAGCGCACACACGCGTGTACTGCGTGCGTGCATGCATGTGCCCTGCCATGCGTGTATTGTGCACACGCGTGTCCCTGCATGCGTGCACCTGCACCCTGCATGCGTGCACCTGCGTCCTGCATGCATGTAGCACGGCCTCACATGCGTGCTGTCCCCCCCGCTTGCACATGCCGCACACACGTGTGCACTGACCGCCCTGCATGCTCGCCACATGCGTGGCGGCACCTGTGTGCCCCACTCTGCCTCCCTTCGCCTGTGTTTGCACCGCCACGCGTGTGCGCTGGGCTGCGCCTGCACTCGCAACACGTGTGCACCGCCTGTATGTAGCCCAGCACGTGCGTGCTCTGCATGTGTTTGCACCACCACCCGCCTGCTGCATGTACCCGCACCTGCATACCAGTGCCTTTGCATGCACACACACGTGTGAGCCACGGACCGGGGTGCTTGCACACACATGCGTGGGCCACGGACCGGGGTGCGTGCCATGGGCCCAGGGTGCATGGACACACATGTGTGCCACAAGCTGGGGGGTGCATGCACACACACGTGTGGGCCACGGGCCCAGTGTGCACGCACACACATGTGTGCCACAAGCTGGGGGGGTGCATGCACACACACGTGTGGGCTATGGGCCGGGGTGCAGGCAGACACACATGTGTGCCATGGGCCGGGGTGCATGCACACACACACGTTGGCCGCGGACCGGCTGCATGCACACACATGGATGTGCCATGGACTGGGGTGCATGCACACACATGTGTGCCATGGGCCAGGGTGCATGCACACACACATGCGTGTGCCATGGGCCAGGGTGCATGCACACACACGTGTGTGCCACGGGCCCGGGGTGCATGCCAACACATGTGTGC